GACCGTTTAAGATTAAGTATTTATTTTGGTATATCCCTCTCTCTCGTTAAATTTCTGTTCATGTATTGAATGATCTTTGTCTATAGATGGTACGCACAATGAGGACCAGTAAAAACTAGGGATTAGGCCCTGGAAGCATCACTGCAAGGAAGCTGAAGGAGTTTGAGAGGCTTGCATTCAACGAAAAGAGAACACTAGGAGAGGACATACAAGAGGTACTTGATTGATGGGTAGAACTAAGGAGGCATGCGAACAACCTGTCTCATTCAGACAGAAAAAAGAAGCTCATCGACATTCTGACCAATATGGAAGATCGAGGCTAATAGGATTTACAGCGAGCTGTTGGAGGAGAACAGAAGGATCCCACATAATAGAGGAATGCCGTTGGTGAGCTTCTACGACTTGGTAGTACAAGTGGGACGGCTGTGGGAGGAAAAGAGAGTACCTCTGGAATCAGAACTGGAGCCGACTGAAGAAAAGCCTCATCTAGAAGGTGAGTCGAGTCGAGGAAGTAATTAGGTACCTATCGTTTATCCTATCTTTAGTTAAAAGCTTGATGATTCTAGATGATCTTATTTCCAAGGATGGAAATATTTTAAAGAGGATAGGATGTAGCGCCCCAAAAGAGCATAATTAAATTCATGCATTTTATTTTATTAAGATCGAAATTTTAATTTTATTATAATAGAAATTAAGTGGATGTCCTCATCCATTTAATTTTATTTATACATAGTGCGCGTTTGTTTTATGGGATTAGGTAGGATATCCTGCCTAATCCTAGCCTATCCCATGTTTGTTTCACTGGATGAAGGCCCGGTATTATGGGGTAGACCCGGGATGAAAAGTTGTTTTATCCCGTGAATATGGGATAACTCCATCCCAACTTTTAGATGAGATATAAATAATCCTAGCACTTGGTATTATTTTTATCCAATCCCACCACCAAACAAATATACTAATAAAGAATAAATGGAGATTAATTAGATGTCCCCATCTATCTATTTCTCCTTAATTAAAATCCCTTTAATCATAATTTTAATTAATTAATTGAAGTCCTAAGCAATAAAGGAGAATGCGTATTACTCTAAGACAATTGGAGCACAAAATTTCGGCCCTCATAGGTGTTTAGCCGTGGAAAAGAGAGAGAGAGAAGAGAGTAGGAGAGTTCTTGTCTTGCTCACTAAGTAAAAGAGAAGCCTATTCCTACCAAAATAAAGACTCATATATATTCTTCTAAGTCTCCTAAACCTAGCACTATAAATATAATCCTCTCCAATTAGATTTTATTTTCCCTACGCAAATTATTTCATGAGATTCTAAGTTCCATAGTTCAAAAGAATAAATAAATAAACTGAGCCGAGCGCTTCTCTCGGCCGAGCCATCCGTGCGCTGCCTGTGTTGCAGCCAGCAGCCGATCGCCGCACGTCTCAGCCCGTCCGCGCGTTCCGGCTTCGAGCGCCCCACGCGAAGCAGCAACCATCCATCGCAGCCTGAGCCCGCGCACTGTTCGAAGTCGCAAGTACGCAACGTGCCACGCGCAAGCAAGCCGAGTCCCGAGATTTTTCCCGAGCTGATCTTTTATTCTTTTTTCCAATCACGGTAAACCGATACATTTTCCTAATTATGGGCTGAAATGATGTGTTTTAATAATCAAATCGAATTAAAGATTAACAAGTTTAATAAATTCATGAGATCAAGCATAAGAGAAAGGAATTCCAAGTTTGATCTTGGATCAATTGTTTATCGAAGTTTTTTATAAAAGAGTTTAAAATCTCAAAATATTGGATTATTATGCTTGCTTCAGAGATAGGATAATCAAGAATGTTAGATTAAGTTTATGCCGATGATGTTAATGAAAAGAGAAGAAAATTCGATGTCTTATGCATGCTTCAATCTATCCTTGTTCACGTCTACGTGATTGAGATTAGATGCTGGAAATTATATGATATTGATCACGTTTTGAGATGTAAAAATTATGTTTAGAAGTTTGGTTTAAGTTGCCTTAGTCGGGATTTGAATTGTGAAGTTTTTTTATGATTAACATGTGATTTCGCTGGTTTCTGTTCCTCTGTTTATGAACTGTTTTGACCTTCAAGATCGTGTTTCTCGATGTTGTACTCTTCATATGAATTGTATCCAAGAGATGGTAAAAAAATATCCTTGGTACGCCAATAGTTGGGATGACTATCGGCAATTCATGAATTTTGCAAAAACCTATTATATTTTAGGAGATATGATCTTTTTAAAATCAGTGCGTGAAAAAACGGGGGTTGACGGGTGTGGTCCCACGGACGTGAGGCGCACCAAAGCAGGGTGAGCCTAGATGGGCCTTAGTGGGGTTCCACCCTAAAACCAATTGGTGGTAGGAGGAGTGGCCCACTAGGCTTATAAGTTAGGCCTATTTTCCTTGTACAGACGATGTGGAACAACTCACAAGTGTATATTCTAACACGCCCTCTCACTTGTGAGTCCTTCATATGACGGTCAAGCCCAACTGAGCTGGGTGACGGATACGTCATTGCACGGTCCCACGTAGGCCCAAGCCCAACTAGGCTGGGTGACCCAACTTTGATACCATGAAGAAACGGGGGTTGACGGGTGCAGTCCCACGGACGTGAAGCGCCCCAAAGCAGAGTGAGCCTAGATGAGCCTTAGTGGGATTCCATCCTAAAACCAAATTGTGGTAGGAGGATTAGCCTACTACGCTTATAAATTAGGCATATTTTCCCTATACAGACAATGTGGGACAATTCACAAGTGTATATTCTAACATGCCCCCTCACTTGTGAGTCCTTCATATGAGGCCCAAGCCCAACTGGGCTGGGTGAAAGGTACATCATTGCATGGTCCCACGTAAACCCAAGCCCAAATGGGTAGGGTGAACCGGCTCTGATACCATGAAATAACGGGGGTTGACGGGTGTGGTTCCACGGACGTGAAGCGCACCAAAGCATGGTGAGCCTAGATGGCCATTAGTGGGGTTCCATCCTAAAACCACTTGGTGATAGGAGTAGTAGCCCACTATGCTTATAAGTTAGGCCTATTTTTCCTGTACAGACAATATGGGACACAACTCACAAGTGTATATTCTAACAGTGCACAAGCAGTTTTTTGAAAAGTTGGCAGCAGGTTATAAACTAAGTTTAAATTATTTTCACTGTTTTTAACGTGCTCAAATGCAATTGTGAAAAATGTGGTGTTGTCTCCTATCTTATTGCATGTTTGAGAATCATTTAAAAATATTTCTTGCGTAAAAAGTTATATTCTGTTTAGTGGGACAGCGCATGAGTTAGTTTCGATTTTCTGACTGCATCTAGGTTCTCAATGTTAGTCGATATTTCACCTGCTTGATGACCTTATTTGCTTCTGTGATCTAAATGAAACATTTTGTTGCATGTCTTAGGATTATTTTGAGATCAGAATCATGTCCATATGAGTTAAGTGTTGAGAGATATGCATATTTTAAAAATGTTGCGCATGACAGATTTGGTCAGTTCTTGGTATAGTTTCAAAAACGGATTTTACCTTTTATATACATGATTATGCGATAAATATCTGATTTATTGATATTATATAGTTTTTCAATTTTTCTGTCCCGTTCGAAGCCTAACATCCTTGCAAGCTTTGGATTCTTTCCTGTTGTACCGGTCTTAAAGTCCGCTCTAATGCCATCTTTCGGCTTCTCTATTCATTCCCAAGTATCCTAGATGATGAATATTAGTACCCTTAAGCAACTAAGAAATCAATAAATTCTAATACTTTAAACGTAGCTTTGCTTTTTTTTTTTTTTAAAGTTCAAGAGAGGTTTAATCGAGGAAAGGAAAACCAATTGGTTTTCTCAAAAACTAAGATATGTTGAACTTCTTCAATAAGACATTTAAAATACACCTCCAAATAATGTATATAGTCAAGCAGTCGAACCCTCCAGTTCCTAGAGCACTATTTATAGATCAAGTCAACTACACTACGAGGTGGGGAATTTCAATGTTACGTTTTACATTCCTTATAATTGCTTATAATATGGTTGAGATCTGTAGCTTATTTAATTATGTACTAGCTTTTCAACTTTTGGGTAACACCATTTGTTAGATGGAAAAGGAAAACGTAAAGACTTCTGGCATTTGGGTAACACCATTTGTTGGATGGAAAAGGAAAAGGTAAAGGCTTCTGGCATTTGGGTAACACCGTTTGTTAGATAGAAACGAGCTTCATTATTCATGATATATGTCGATATCATATGATTTTTTATTATATTGAATCTTTTGCGTAAAAAGTATTCTTGACTGAGTAAGTGAAAATGCTCACCCCTATTTGTTTTCCACACCCAGGTTGTTCGAGTTGGCAGCGGTGCGAGGGCGAGGGTGGCCAAATAAATAAATTTGCTATCGAGTTTTACTGCTTTTAAGTTATTTTCAAATATGAGACAATTCATGAGTATATTTCTTATAAGTTGATTTAAGACACTATGAAACATGGTTTATGTTTTTGTATACGAACAAGTTTATTTATGCAAAGTACGATAAATGGACATGCGATGAAATGATGAGGGTTAAGTCTTAAAGTTCCCATGGCTATTGCAAGTTTTAAAGTAGTAGCGCCCGTGAGTTTCCCAAATGTTTAAAGAAAAGTAAAATTTCTTCGAAAAAATTAAAGTAAATAAGTGGGATGTTACACGATGGGTTGGTCATCTGTGATGGACCACAAATAAAGTAGCTCTCCTCCAACTCCTTTTACAAGTAATCGATATGTGATCTTCTGTCTCATTTGTGATGGACCACAATATCTACATGTAAAACATCTGAAATGTTTAGGTAAACATGATTCTCATTCAAACGGGATCAGTGTAAATAACATCTAAAGCTTACTATTTCAGTACATACACCAACACTCTTCAGGTGCCCAAGCGATTCAAGTTCACGGCTAGTGCTTATGGCTGCCCACTAACGAACATTTGCATGTCGGTAGGCCAAGTATAGGAGTTGCAGAAGAGCTACTCCTAGATGAAAGCCGAGCATGCTCTCAGCAGGGGAAAACTCACCTCTCTCGAACTAGAATCTGAGGAGGCTCACGCCTCGGCAAAGAGGATGCCTAAGTTAGATGTTGAAAAGGCGATTCTACAAGAAGAACTTGAGTTTGATCGCGGAAATAAGTTGATGCTAGAGGCCCAAGTCGGCGGTGAAGCATAATCATCAAAATCACCTTGGTCGATTTGAAGAAATGAAGGATAGACTCAACCGCGAGGTCCTTTACTCAAGACCAATAAAAAGACTCTGGAGGAGAGAATCCAACAGATCTCTATAGAGGTCGACATGGAGAAGATGACTTCACAGCTCCACGCTGCTCTAGCTGAATACACCGTAGAAGAATTGAAGAAAACGACTTTCACCGAATTCTGAGATTTCAGCGACTATGTAGAGGACGTCGAGGCTAGTGCCGCTGTGAACCTTCTTTGGGTGATCTGAGTTTTTGAGAGCGAAACATGAAGTCTGGAACATTATCGGGCGATCATGCACCCTAAGGCCCGGCGCATTGGACTCGGGAAAGGCTTCGAGCTGATGGGAAAATTTCAGACTGCGATGAGGTCATGCTGGAAAGACTTAAAGTGGCGAGTGAGAAGCTACCCAGCCCGCTCACAAATGTTGAGACCTTTGTGAAGGCTGGCCCAGGCGAAGTCGCCGGAGAGATCGATACCCGAGAAATTGATCTTGAGATCTCGGCCGAGGAGAGTGACTTTAGATTTGAAGCGACTGGTGGTTGAGCTGAGGAGGACAACACTATTGTAGTCGGCGAGGGCTATCCGTCGATTGACTTGGGGACCACCCTCATTGATGACGATAGAGAGGCCGGGTCGCTGGTCAGGTCAAAGGGGATGAGGCCAGGGCTGGAGTAGATGAGCTAACAATCGACCTAGAAGTCGACCCTACCACTGAGGCTGACACCGCCCCCAAGTTGTTGACTTTGAGTTTATTCCTTTTTCCTGTCTTCGGCGGGGTCTCTGTGAACGAAGGTTGAATTTGACCATTTTCATGAACTGTTGGTTATGTATTTGTTTTTCCTTTTTCAATGGATGTGGCACTTTTTATTATGTGACGGTTTGCATGCTTTTAGTTCCTACTANCGATTCCCTTTAAATATTTGTTTCAAAGTCTCAATTGTCATACTTTCTCCAACTCGAGTGCTTACATGTGTGTGAATTTTTGGCATAGACAGAAGGAGCGAATTCTTCATTTCGAGGTCGTCGGTATCGACTGGACCCGACTTAACTTGGGTTTGTTAACAATATTTCGCGTGCATTTAACTGGCTCGTACCTTTAGGTCATTAGTGATGGTTACTGAAACATCGCGAATGTACTTGATCGATAGGACGTATCTTTACTTTTCTTTCCCTAAAAAGTCTTTGAAACGTCTCCAACTGATGCGACGCTTGCAGACATTTCTTTTCCTAAAAGGCGCGCCACCTTATCTTTATTTATGACGTGGTACCCTGAAAGACCGTTGATTTCGATTACGGTTTTTGGGATATGAAACAACAATTTTTTTTTTCAAACGATAGACTTTATAAATAACACGAAAATACAACCGGTTCACTAACCGGAAAGAGGGAGGTCTACCACCGAAGGTAGCCTAAATCACAACACTACGAAACACACAAAAAAATTAAAACCCCACTATTGAGGAATACACACTCCCCGCCGGGAGAATTCACACTCCTAAAGAGGAGAAAAAAAACATTGACGCACACAAACAACACTAACACCACACACCAACAAACACTCAAACAAAGCAACACTAAACACAACAAAAAGAATACAAAACAACAAACACTAAGCCCTTCCCACAGCACAGTGAAGCCAACCCGAACACCAACGACACCGACACCCAAGGCCGACTACCCACACGGACAAGACCCGATTCAAGCCGCAAATCCAGAAACTGCATATAAATTGCCTAGCCAAATCTGAGACTAAAAAACCCAAAACCTCGCCCGAGCAGACAACCCAAAGACCCGCAACCGGAGATCCACAACATACTCCACCTCCCAAGACCCGACAACCTAGGTCCAGGACATAAGACCCACCCCGACCCGAGCCGACTCTGCTAACACAACCCAAAGGCCCCAAAAGCAGAGCAAAACGGGAGAAGGGAGAAGAGTGAAACCCCCGATCTCAGCCCCGACTACCACCCTGCCAACCTCCTAGGGGATAATAGGAGCCACAGCCTGCACTCACAGCCACGCCGGTAGCCCGCCACCACCTAGACTCCGAGAAGAACGCGGGATCCCGACCCACCTTAGCAACCTGCAAGACAGCGAAACCCAAGGGGAGGACCCGCCATCTCACCCGATGAAAAGGCCACCGCCACTGCCGACGTCTCTGAGATTCGACCGCACGGCTCGGAGGACGCCGCCGTCGTGGTGGCCCGAAGGCCCTGCTGGGAGAAGGCACGCGAATTAGCGGATTAGGGTTTATGTGAATTTGGGGCTTTTTCTGTGAATTCATTTTTCCAAACTTGTATTCATAGCAGGTGGATGTTTGGTGTTTCTTGTTCCCTTTGTAAAGGGGATTGTCCTTTTAATTGACTTACCAAAGTTTTGTACCTCTGTTTATCTCTTGATATTCATTACTTTTTGTCTCTTTTATGATGATTGTTCTAACTTTCGGTGATGGCTCGATGGCTGGGCGTTTTCCATTTCGTTCATATATGACCGGTGGACGGCCGGTGGTCAGTTTCCCTCTTCGAAGGTGTTTGTGCCCTTTTCGTGTGCAGGCGTGCAAGACCTCGAGAGACTCTTCCCATATGGTCCGACCTACGATGGGCAAAGGCTCTGACCTGTTTGGCGTCCACTCTGCGCTGGACGGGGGCTTTGGCCTTCCCTGTCTGATCATTATAAGAACATCTTTCAGGCTTTGCTTCAACCAGCTCCATCTGAGTGGGGCGAAGAATCTGGTCTCAGTAGTTGTGCGTCCCCTTTGGGTTGGATGGACATCGTGGACGTCATTATGGATTGAAGTTGTCGGAATTCCCTCCATCTTTCATGTGGTCGGGTCTTGCTCGGATCGTTGACCTTCTCAATATTTTTCTTGTTTTAATAATCAATGAGTACCTCTAAAATGGTAATAAAGTCGTATTCGGGCTAGATCAGTACGAGGATGGTCATAAGTGACCGACCTGTAATTTTGCAATTATGTGCATTTGCTTTTCTTATTAATGGAAGACACGAAAAAGGTTATAATTCTCATATGTCTGCTTCAATTTCTAGTGCTCTTTATATTTGTTTTACTTTTATGTCCTTGTCGATGATATGACTTTGTATGGGTGCTCGGATCCTTGAAATCTTTTAATGCCTATTTTGGTTAATCTTGAGTTTAACCATATTTCGTAAAGGTTTTTATCATTTATATGAAATTGGGTTGGATGATTTTGACATTCGATTTCTGCCTGTTCACGTGGGTTGAGTATTTAAATGAGGTGTTTCTTGGTCGTTGCACTCATTGGGCGAGCTGACATTTTGAGTGAATTCCGCTCTTTGGACGAGTTTATTTTATAAAGTGAATTGCTCTTTGGACGAGCTGATTTTTAAAAGTGAATTACGCTCTTTGGACTACTTGATTTTTGTAAGTGAATTACTCTCTTTGGTCGAACCGATTTTTGAAAGTGAATTGCGTCTCTTTGGACGAGCTGATTTTTGTAAGTGAATTCTGCTATTTTTTAAAACAAACTACGCTCTTTGGACGAGCTGATTTTTGTAAGTGAATTACACTCTTTGCATGAGCCGATTTTTGTCTGGGTAATGTAGTACCCTTGATTATCTGCTCTAGGTGTCTCAGTATCATGGTGCTTCTAGCTGGACCGTGAAATTCCTCGACGCTTAGCAATTGCTTTTGATGGCGGTGTTTTGGCTCTTAGTTTATAACTACATTTGGCCCGTAGTTTATAAATGTGTTTCGGTCAGTAATTTATAAAGACATTTTAGCCCGTAGTTTATAACGTCATTTTAGCCTGTAATTTATAATGACATTTCAGGTCATAGTTTATAACGACATTTCGGGTCGTAGTTGATGAAGGTATTTCGGCTTATAGTTTATAACGACATTTTGTCCCGTAGTTTATGAAGGCATTTTGGCCTGACCGAGTAATTCTCGCACGGTTTTTAGTTTATGAAGACATTCCAGCTTGACCGAGCAACTCTCGTACACGGTTCTTTAGTTTATGTAGGCATTCCGGCCTGACTGAGTAACTCTCGTACATAGTATTTTTAGTTTATGAAAGCATTTCGGCCTGACCGGGTAACTCTCGTACATGGTTTTTTAGTTTATGAATGAATTCTGACCAGACATAGTAACTCTCCTACACGGTTTTTTTTTTTTTTAGTTTATGAAGGAATTACGGCCTGGGTGGGGCCAAGCCGTGAATAATTGTTTTCTGTGGGTTCCCACCTTCTTTCAATCGGGATTTTTTGGATGGCCCCGTGATTATGTCTTCGACGATAAGCCGGTTTCTTTCCTTCCTTTATCTTGGCCCTAAAAGTGTGTTTTCCTATTTCTTAGGTTAGTTTATTTTTGTGATCGGGACCATCAATTTTCTGCTTCCCAGATCGGTTACGAGCATTTTAATTGTCACTTGTCTTATGACCCTCCTCTTACTGCTATGATCTATCTGTGGTCACACTTTTCGATCTTAGCACTTTAACTGCTCATCTTATTTTTAGTTTTTCAGTTAATTGTTGGATTGTTGCACCTGACCAGATCTATATTTTTCTGGATTGTGCGGTGGGGGACGAGTGTCCTACTTCTCTGGCATCTCTAGTATTTTTAGCATCGGGATGTTTGTCGTTACTTTTTTGATCTCCGACACGCCGAAGGCATACTGTGCTAGGGTCTTCGCCATTACTTTTGTGTATCTCCGGTACGGTGGAGGTGTTTTGTGTCGGAGTCTTTGATGCTACTATCGTGTATGTCCTGCATGGTGGAGGTTCTTTGTGCTTGAGTCTCTGCTACTATTGCGTATCTCTGGCACGGTGGAGGTGTTTTGCGCCAGAGTCTTCGCTGCTACTATTGTGTATCTCTAGAACGGTGGAGGTGTTTTGTGTCAAAGTCTGTAATGCTACTATTGTGTATCTCCGGCGCAATAGAGGTGTTTTGTGCAGGGGTCTATGCTGCTACTATTGCGTATCTCTGGCACAGTGAAGGTGTTCTGCATCGGAGTCTTCACTACTACTATAGTGTATGTCCGACACGGTGAAGGTGTTTTGTGTCGGAGTCTTCGCTGCTACTAGTGTGTATGCAAGGGAGAGAGAGTTGTGGTGGTGTTCACAAGTCGAACACTGATCTAAGCAAATTATGGAACCCTCTTTCTAGTGTCAAACTGTTAATGAACGTTTTCGATCAACGGTTAGTTGAAGATTAAATGATGTTTATGATTGGATTTTGGATGCTATTGGGAAATGTTGGGTTACGATTAGCTTGGATAACCCTGATGTGGATCATCAAAAATAAGAAGAAGAAGAGAAATTCAAGATAATCGAAAAGATTGGCATAATTACCGGCAGTGTCTGATGGCGGTACCTTGACGATAGTGGCCGATGGTTGGTGTCAGTGAGAGGTGGCTGAACTTAGTTGGGCAAGGAGGTCGATTGTGCCTGAAGATCGGACTGTGCTTGGAGATCGACGGTTATCGTATTCGTCGATGTCGGATGGTGCGCGCCAGTCTGTTGGGTTCTATTAGGAACGACAACAACATGCACGTTTGAATTTTGGA